ATGGGACATGTAGCAAAAGAGAGAAGTAACCCTTTGTGATCGTAAATCATTGTGGTTTGAGCAGGTTGTTACTGTAGCATAACCATACCTACCCTGACTGATAGAGTCATCTATTTTCTCTATCCCTGGTCTATAATTCTATAATCATAGCTTCAAATGTCGTGTGTGTGTGTGTGTGTGTGTGTGTATGTATGTATGTATTATTATTATTATTATTATTATTATTATTATTATTATTTTATTACTATTTCCCCCAAAAGAATATTTTTCTCTCCCAGGAAAAATCACCTAATCACTATAAACATTTTTACATGCTTCCTGAACAATTTTACCTGAGTGCTGTTCATGCAATTGATAATCATGACCAAAACTAAATTCAGCATCTTTTTTTCAAAAATGTTATCTACCTTCCCTTATTTCAATATCATTTATCTGTGAGAATAGTACTCATCTGCTATCTTTCTCAACCCCTTTCCATATCTAATTAATTTTCAAGTTTTGTTAATTCTGCAACCCAAGTAGCTATTGAATCTATTCCATTCTCTTTATCTCACTGAGAAAGTTCTGGTTTAAATCTTCATCATCAATCTCCTAGGATTTTAGACTAACCACCCAATTTGTCTCCACCTCCAATCTTACACGATTTCAAATTATTCTCCAAATTTTCACCAGTGTGGTCTTCCTAAAATTCAAGTGCACCTTTATAACTTCACTGTTTAGAATCTATTATTAAAAACCCAAATATTCTGTACAAAGTCCAAACCCTTAGCACAGCATTTGAAATTCCTCATAATCTGACTCTAACCCACCTCTTTAGTTATACCCATAAAGATACTCGACTTTCATCTTTCAATCTACCAAAAGTTTCCTAAAAGCATCATATGCTCTAAGACCTATTCCTTTGCATGATTTTGTTTATCAGTGTTGCTTTGCTCCCAACAACTTGGCTAGCTAACGCTCCTTATGCCTGTGAGCCAGTCACAACTGTGGTGATCAGCAAAAGCAGTGGCAGACACAGACAAGCCCCTATGAACTCGACCAATTCATGCATACTGTATAAGAAAAAGGGTGGTCAGCAGGACACAAATAGAACTGAAGCCTAATGGGTCATGAAAACAAATGGAATACAGAATCTTTAAAAGTAGGGAATAATCTAATGTTAAAAAAAAAATCCAGTTGGATAAGAATGAAAAACTTTCTGTTGGATTTATCTATTACATGAGATGGTAGTTTGCAGTAGGCTAAGTAATTGGTAGGTGAGACTTGAAACATTAAACTAAGAATTTCTCTTAACTAGTATGGATCAGTCAGGATCCAAAAGCCTCATGAAAGAGCTAGAGGAGACATACTAGGAAGAGAGATTCTTCTCAGGATAGGATATCAGAGTAGAGCCTGGAGACTGAGTCTTAAAGTCAAAGGCACTTTTTTTTTTTAAAGGAGTCAGAGTCTGAAATAGTAAAATGGTAAATCCAAATACTATTTTTGCCAGGGCGAGGAAGAATGAGAAGTACATGCTTAGTCATGTTGAGTTTTAAGGGGGTTGAGTTTAAAGTAGAAATACCATACAGATTTGAAAATATTGGTGTGATAGTAGGTGAAAGGTCACAGTTGACCTTTTGTAAATCACGTCCATTTATTTCCTAAGAAATCAAGACTAAAAACTATCAAGATGTTCTCAATGGGATGAAGCACAGAGTTGCATTTATCATGTTCCAATCTATGTTTCAAAACAGTACTTTTAATGTGGTTTCACTTAGCATCACTTAAAAAATCATTTGACAAAATAAAATGATTTTTTTTATCTTTAAGAAGAGCAAATGCAGTACCAAATGGTGTTTAGATGATGTGAAAAGTTGGGAGATGTATAAATCACACAAATAAATATATAAACAAAGAACCATAGTGAGTTCCTGAAAGAGACAGAGAGGGAAGAAAAAATGATTTTTAATTTTTAATCTGTCTGTTGAAAAACAGGTTTTATTTGGGAGTATAGAATGATCTTTCCTTACTGGGGTAACTTAATTCCTTTGAAATTAATTTTCCCTTTGCTAAACTAACGTCAAAATCTTAGGTCCCATCCCCAAATTATATGGATGTTTTGAATATTAGATTTTGCTTATAACGCAAATAGTCACCTTAAAGAAAAGTTAGTCTCTCTATATAAATTATGAATCTGTATACAAACACAAATATAAAATCAAATGTGAGCTATAATACATTGCTTTGGAAGATATAGTTTCTAAGAGCTCAGCATTATTTCTAATTAAAACGATTTTTCCCAAAACCACATTTCTAGAGATTTTAAGGTTTCTTTCATCAGAGTGACTCTCACCTTAGACTTTTAGATTGAAACATGCTTTCTTAAAAAACTTAGAACTAGGTTACAATGCCTTTGAAATACTTTATTGAATTTTTCTACACAACTTTGACTTTACTTTCTCTGAGTGTGATAAAAATGGATGTGGATAACCACATGGTCTGTTGCTCTCGCACCACTACGTTGTCAATGAAAATTACATGTACTCTAGTATGTCTTTATAACATTAAAAATTCACATGCTATGTGAGTGTTCAAAGGATTCCTACAATCAGATACCTACCCATTGTTAGAGATTTTTAAATCACTGATATATATTAGAAAAACATATATGTTCCTGCCATTAAGGGGTGGAACACCTTTTTTATGCTCTAATTAAGATACTTAAAAAACATGGCAAAAAGGGCACTGCTGCTACTATTTTAACTTTGAGTTTTGTAGCCCTTTTCGAGTCTGATTTTTCCTTTATCATGCTGCAGCACTTTAATTCATCTTTGTTACTGAGCCCCACAGACAGAACAAACAACTTTGAGCTTATGGGACCATGTGACCAATGACTATGTGACAGAGAGGGGAAGCACCCACATGCCACTCTTTGGCGGCCAGTGTGAAATGCATCAGTAGATGGTGAGTGTCAACATCAAGAAAATGCACTGTTACAATTGATTCTTCAAAGTCTTAGAGGAATTTAACTTGAATGAGAAAGTTCTAGTTCACAGCCTCTTATAATTCACAGTCATGATACCGTGTTAAATTTTTTTAATATATTTTTATTAATTTCAGAGAGGAAGGAAGAGGGAGAGACAGACAGAAACATCAATATTGAGAGAGAATCATTGACCGGCTGATTCCTGCACACCCCATATGGGACATGGAGCCTGCTACCCAGGCATGTGCCCTAACCTGGAATCGAAACATGACCTCCTAGTTCATAAGTCAATGCTCAAGCACTGAACCGCACCAGGCTGTGCTAAATTTTCTTTGTAAATATCTTCAGCCATGCCAAAACACAATAATTTTTATCTTTTGTGATAATCTAGTTCTTGCGATCACAAACATAGTTAAGGTCCAGATAGCTACTTGAAGGTGAACATTTTGAATAATTAGGTCAATTAAGGAGAGCCTGTTAAAAGTCAGAGCATCTTTTTTGGACATTGACACAACAAAAATAATGAAGAGTACAAAACGGTGAAAGAAAAGCTATCGCTAGGTATAAAAAGGAAAGCAGTATTAGAAAATCATCCCAGATACAGAATCTACTTGACAATGTTATATAAAAACTAAGTTCTAAACCTCCAGCTTGCTTTTATATTTTTATGCACAATACACAACCATAAAAAAGTAAACACCCTGCAGGGCTAATCATCTGGCACCCAAAGCAATATTCCCCATCCATTGCTACGTGGGACTGAGGGAAATCTGAGGCCGCATGGAGGAAGGCCACAAAGCACCACACAGCACAGTTACTTGTGACTTTAGATTGTAGGCAAATGCCTATATAATTCATCTAAAAGGAACACAAATGTTTTATGATCTTCATGTACGAAAATCAAGTCAAAACAATTACTTAAATACCATACATACTTTATCACAATCTTGCACTGTGTTTTCCATAGTGAAATACAATTCTTTATGATACTTTCTATTTATGTGGCTGCTAAATATCTACCTTATCAGAAGCCTTTTCCAACCGCCCAATTTGAAACTGTAGCCGCTTTCCATGCAGAGAATACTTCACCCTTTACGTTGCTTTCTTTCCTCGGGTTTTTCCCTCCTATCTGAAAGGATACTGTCGATGTCCTGTCTGACTTGGTTATTCCCTGCTTCTCTCCCGCTAATAATGTAAGCTGCTGGGCTCAGAGAGGACATCTGTTTTGTTCACCCTGGGCCCCAGCACCTAACATAAGGTTTCCCTCCGGAAGATGCTCCTGCTGTTCTTGAATGAACAAGTTACCACATTTCAGTCAGAGTTTTTTTTAATGTATGCTTTCAGCTGTATTGGAAAGCCTTGTTTTATACTCTCCCTTCCCCCCTTCCCCCCTCCCCAAAGGGAAAAAAAAAACACATTTCAGCTACTACAATAATCAGAAGAAAGAGAAAAAGTGCACAGGTTTATCACTTGACAAATGCTGGTAAAAACATCCCTTCCATGTTTAATCTTTAATACCTTTGATGCCCCCCGCCTCTCTGGGGAACAAGGCCCACAATCTCTCCTTTTACACGTGTGTGTGGATGTGGGACAAGTTATTCCCACACTGGCACCATTCAGGAGGTTATCATCTCCAATACGGAATATTATCTTAACATTACATTTTAGAGCGAACTCACTGTGGCAAATATCTCCGCAGCAGCTCTGATCTAGAACAGCAGGTTAGCAATGGAAAGCATCAGCAACTGATGCAGCCTTACCTTGATCTCCTCAGGAGCTGGTGCTGGGAAGGCCTCTGAACCGGTGCTGCTTGCTGGTTTCTGCAGAGGACTTACCTGTGTGTGTTTTTTTGTTTGTTTTGTGTGTTTTTTTCCAGTTTAAATGAGACTTAGCCCCAGAAATGTTGTTTTGTTTTTTTCAAAATAGACAACTGAAGTCAAGAATATATTAAAGGCAATATGAAAAAGATAGCATTGAGGATGTCACTTGTGTCAATTGAACATTTAAATTCCCAAAAATATAATCAAAATTGTACCTTCAAGAAAGCCGCTGGGATGACCTGCTCTCTTCGCCGCGCCTCACCTCCTGGGGAAAGAAGGAATGGAAGAGTCAGAGAGGGAAGGAAAGGCAATCGAAGTAGAAAAGGAGGCACCAATGCATCAGCTGCCCTAGAACCAGTCACCAAGCGCAACCAGGGAGAGTGGTTCCTGCCATGGTGAGGGCCATTTCATAGAAGGCCCTGATCCAAGACCTCCCCATCATCTCAATGCTCCTCATCTGTGGATTGATATTAGCATTTCTATTCCGATTGGCTTGAAGGGAATAGTAATAAATGCCTCTGGGGGAATTCTAACCTTAATTTGACTATTTAACCTTGTTGACTGAAGAGGGAGAAATATGCAGGAAAAACAGGAAGGGTTGGGTATAAGACAGAGTGGCTAGTGAGGAGACTTCAAAGTCATTTCCTACAGTCACAGTGTCCTTTCTCTAAAGTGAAACAATGAATTGAGTGCTGGAGATGCTTTTGGCTTTTTCATTTGTTTTATTCTCTAACATGCAGGTCGGTTTTACTGCACATACAAGTTACAATAAGTGTGGCCTTCAATCATTCCCAGAGCTTGAAAAAAATGCCACTCAATTTTGCCTAGTCTATTCTCACTTAAAGTAGATATTTTCTCTCCCCACTTCCCACCCCAAAGACAGTATTTTCCTCCCAGACCCAGCACTATGTCAAACTAACTAATCACGAAATTGTAACTTTAAGAATGGGCATTAGCTTGTAGCTCTATAAAAGCAAAGCCTTAGCAATGTAGCAGATAATAAATTGGACTTGTGATGGTTATTTTATGGGGATCCTGACCCTATAATGTAATATTTTTAAAATATATTTTATTGATTTTGTAAGGAGAGGAAGGGAGAGAGAGAAAGAGTTAGAAACATCGATGAGAGAGAGTCATCCATCAGTTGCCTCTTGCACACCCTCTACTGGGGATATATCCGCAACCAAGGTACATGCCCTTGACCGGAATCGAACCCTTGGGGACCCTTCAGTCCCCAAGCCGATGCTCTATCCATTGAGCCAAACCAGTTTCGGCTAAGCTATAATGTAATATTTTTAAATAGAGAGTATTTTACAAAGGAAAAAAATGAGAGAGATAGTAAGAGAATAAATCTGGTCTAATCATGAACGGTTCAAAAGAGCCGAATTCTTTGATTTAGTATTTAGGACCTCCTTCCAAATCGCTCTTGTTTTATTTGTCCTTTCTCTTACTCCTTTTTTGCCAACCCAGACCTCTGGAGGCAGAAGTGACCTAATTGCCCCACCCCCACTCCCGACTCTCAATACAGCTTCCAGAGAAACATTAGGATAAAACAGAACTAACATCTTAGATATTATAGCCTGGGTGTGTTTTTTGTTTCTTTGTTTTTTGTTTTTTTAAACTTAAACAAAAACACAATTTTATTTCAAGTAGGAAATATCCAACTAGTTTCAGAGCAAGAAAAAAAATCCCATGTCAGTAGATTGCAGAACACAGGCCACTGGAGATATTTCACGTTTACTTTCTGTTGTTCTGTTATTATCAAGGAATCATTGGGAAATTGGATCCCTCTGGGGATTCTGGGCTTTTTAACAGTTTGACTGAAGGTGCATCCCTTGATACAGAGCAATTTCTCTGGTGTCTGTATCTGACAGAGACTCCTTTGACCAAAGGACAGCAATTAGAGGAGTTTAAAGGGAAGAGCCTAATCAAGAGGGAGTTCCCTGATGTAAGGCTTTATCTCACGTAATCATCACAATAAAACCCTGAAAGTATCATCAAACCCATTTCACAGAGAAGAGAACTGAGGCTTCATAATCTGTTCCTTGTTACCTAGCTTCTAAGTGATGGATCTAGATGTAGATCATTTTATCTGACCTTGAAATCTGTGTCTTTCCAACACTCTGCACTGCCTCTCTTTCTGGTCTTTATCGACTTCCTCTCAGCTGGCCAGCAATGGGATTGAATTAACTAGTTCCACCAGAGCCTGAGTAATGAGTGAGACTTAATATGCTTTGCTCCAAGGAGTGCACATGTTTACACAGGAGGGGAAAATGCCTTAACTAATGAAGGATTTCCTAAGTCAAAATCTCTGGGCTAAGCATCACTTTTCTGGTTGAGGGACGCTGGGGCTGAAAGCTCCACTTGCTTCCTTCGGTAGGTCACGGCTCTCGATAGTCAAATATATTTAGTCCGAGGAGACAATTAAGCATTATGCTACACCGTTTGTTTTGTTCTTCAGTGATTGGTGCTGGCAGGCTTTCAAGCAGTTGCTATAACGTTTGGGAGAACACTGTTTTGCTGGGGGAATTTGGTTCAGTTCTTAATAAATGCATTTGTCATTTTCCTAATTTTCTTTTTTGTATACTTCAAATGCTGTTGCTTCCAAGAGTTTAAAACGAGATAACCTCCCTTAGATTCTGTTATGGTCTCTCTTGTCTCCCATAGGATATCCAAAAAGACAGAAGCAACATGAATTCTTGGCAGTAATAGACTTTTCCATAGGTGTGAGCGCATCACAATTGAGAGTGGTTGGAACTGCTTTAGTCAGGCCATGGGGGGGGAAGTAATAAATTAACCTCATGCTGTGACTACTTCCTGAACTACAAATGGCTTTCATACTGGCATCTCACTGGGCAATTATCTAGAGCAGCAATTTTCAACCATTGTTCCACAAAGCTTTTTAATAGATGCAATACCTGACTATTTAGTCAGGGGCACTGACATCTTTTTCCCTTAGATTGTCAAATAAAAGAATGACAACAGCCAACAACCATAGCTGTGCTAGTATGAACGAATCAAAATTGTATCTATTTTTTTGTCAGATTGGCAAAAAAAAAAAAAAAAAGTAAAATTTTTTTTTTGGTGTGCCACAGAATGTTAGTAATTAGTTTATGTGTGCCATGAGATAAAAGGAGTTGAAATCTCTGGTCTAGAGCAATGAGCTTCACGTACACCATATCTGGTAAGAGTTAAGGTTCAAGTTCCAGAGCTAAACTTCCTCAACTTGAATCTGTTTACTTGAAGCTTCGTGGACTATTATTAACTCACTTAGTTTCTCTTGCTTATATTTTTATTTAACAAGTGAAAAATTACAGTGCCCACCTCATTACCTATATGATTAAATGAGTAATTCATATCTATATACTAGTATATAAAACCCTAATATGCAAATAGACCAAACAACTGGTCACTATGACCTGCGCTGACCACCAGGGGATGCGCATGGAACATGGCGGGTGTCAGCAGCAGTGGGGGCTCCAGACCAAAGTGGGGCACTGGTCACTGTCATCAGGGAGAGCCTCTGATGGTTACTGAAAATTCTTTGCTTGCACATGGTCCCACCTTTGAGTGCTCATGCCTGCTTCTGGTGCGGGCTCTGCTTGTACCTGCTGCCAGCGCCATCAGTGGGTGCAAGCAGCAGTTGCCAGCCCCAATCACCCGAGGGCCTCTCCACCTCACCCTGCTCCTGAAGGAGGGTCAGGGCCCACAGCCCCCTCTCACATCCACTGCCAGTGATGGCCAGACTCACACCCACTGCTGGGCACCCACTGCTGGTGCCTGGCGCCAGTCCAAATCACTTTTCAATGTCAGGAGATGAGAGTGGGTCCAGTACCATCAGGGCAGTGGCAGAAGCAGGGCTTCCAGCAGAGATAGGACCAGGGGCCGTGGTGAAAGGGGCCAAGCAGGGGCAGGAAGGATAGGCCAAAACCCACCCCTGTGCCCACAGCAGCCTTGCAGCCCACAGTTCTTTTCAAGGTGCACAAATTTGTGCCTTGGGCCCCTAGTTAAGTATATGAAAGAGTGCCTGACTCATTCTGTTATTACATATTATATACCAAACTGTTTTGTAATTCACTTAGTACTTCAGACACATGTGATGTGATTGTGTGGCATCAGATGGAGCAAGAAGGGGTTCACTGTCATCTTCCTCAGGATGTGAGAAAACAGGATTCATGTGTGGTGCATAGGAGAGCCACGTATACAGCATTACATTCAATCTCCATACTACAAAGTAAGCAGTGCTCAAAGGGGACAGTGTTTGTCCACTGCATTAGGTCAGAGGCCAGGGGAAAGAGGAGGCCATCACCCTGAGGGCCTCCACATTGGGCAATCACATTGGTCATAATCACAATGACTTCTCAGAACCAGAGACAATAAAATTCCATGAGACCTCAAAGAAAATCACTCTTTTAAAAAATGCTAAATGGATCCAAAACAGGGGTTACAATGATAAAATACAATAATCTAGAAGAGGTCCTAAAAGCAAAGGTGATTAAGGCAAAAGCAAGGAATCCTTATAGACAATGGGGGGATGTGGTTGAGCATACAGTTCTGGTTTATATTGGCTTAGCTGCACAATGCATTAGTAAGAGTAAATTTTTAGAGGACCAACTCAACTTTCGAAAAAAAAACCTTTCTCTGGGAATGTTGAGATATGATCAAATAGAAGTATGATTGGTAACACTTTTATTTTCACTGAGGACAAATTTATTGACTGAGAGCCTGGATAGACAGGTATGGAAAGCAGAGAAAAGCAGCAGAATAGAATATAGGAAAGTTCCAGAGGCAAGTTCATGTATTGCCAAAAATAAATAAAACTGTGTTTTCACAGCTACAGCTCCTGCCTGTCCTCCACCACCCACAAATCCTCAGAGTTACTGCCCTGGATTGCTACTGGAAATCAGTCAGGCAAACCATCCCAACACATGTAGCGTTTAACAAACCTCTGGATCTGAGCATGAACAGGGTAAGAGCAGGTGAAAACAAGGAACATCCCAGGAGAGCTGATCATTAGTAAAAGTCCTCTTTCCAGGACTGCCTACAAGTTTCCCTCAGCCCCAGCACATTCTCCCATGTGAACAGAATGATTTAATATATTGTTATATCATCTGAATGTTCTCAATTAGAAATCTGAGATGTTAAACATCTACTTCTAAAAATGAAGATGCCTCTGGGAATGTGAAGAAACTTGCCTCCTGAAAATTTAGCAGAGACGAACTGCTTTGGAGAATTGGGTTTTAACCAAAGCTGGATGAGGTGAAGTAACTCGTAAGTAAGAAAAA